CTCAGCCTTCCAAGTAACTGGAACTACAGGCGCATGCCACCAGGTCTGGCTAATTTTTCTTGATTTATTGTAGAGACGAGGTCTCACCAAGTTGCCCAGGCTAGTCTCAAACCCCTGGGCTCAGGCAATCCTCTTGCCTCTGCCTCCCAAAGTGCTGGGATTACAGGTGTGAGCCACTGTGCCTGGCTATAGGTCCTTTTTAATTAGAGAGTTGTAATTGTTGTTGTTACTGTCTTGAGAGTATCTAGTGTTAGGCCCGGGGAGAAGCAGCACTCACCTTCCCCCATCTGCCCCTCCACCCACCAATCCCCTATGCGCCGCTCCACCTTAAACCCACAAACCACATACCAGCTTTCTGAAACCTGCTGGCAGCTGCTGAGAAGGGTCAGACAGAAACTTTCCAGCCCACGCAGGATATGACGCTTTGTCTCCCCACTTCACTGCCACCCCCAACACCCTCCCCAAATACAGCACCCTTAAAAACCAAGCCTGCCCCTCCTTGGGCGCAACTCCCCTGGCCCATCTTCCTGGACCACGGGACCTCGCCCGGGAGTTTCTCCCCCAATAAACGCTTGGTTTATACCGGCCCTTTGTCCTGTGCCTCTTTCGGTATCTTCGAACGTTACATCTAGGACTAGTATTTTTCTGGAGTCTTCTGAATGCTCTTACCTTACAGAGAAATGCTGCCACATGAACCAGATCCCTCAGATATACGAGACCATAGGGGTTTGCCTTTCCTGGGTGAATGTGGCATTTCTTCTTAGATTTACAAGCTTTGCTAGAATCCTTGAGAGAAAAGTGACTGGGTATAAACTAACTCATCTTGCCTCTAAAAATCGCCAGATGATACTGGCGGGCATTTAAAAACCAAACCAAACCAAAAATTCCAAGAGAGCGGTCCTGAAAAATACAATTTAAAATATTGATTTCTGATGAAATGTTTGGAAAATTCTAGACACTCAATCACTTCTTTGGTGCATCATGATACTCTCTGAAAGTACTTCCTTAGAAGTAAGAAATGTTTTTAATTTTTACAAACCTATTGCTGTCCATATTTTTAGCTAAGTGTAGACATTCGACATTAACAAAACTTTTAACAACCTTTTCTTATTTAGCTTTATCGTTTATTAATATCCTGATGAACCAGTGCTCTATGGAACATATTTTGAGCAACCCTGGCTCATAACCACAGATTAAATTGGGTATGGACAGCTAATTTGCTGTTTCAACTCAGAGCTATTTCCTCCCTGAGCCCTGGGCCCGGGGAGTAGTGACAGAAAATGAACCAGGACCTCTCTTGCCGAGGCTGGCAGCAACAGTTTTCAAACCTCAGTGGTGAGTGCTTTGTGCGTGTAAAATAGCAAGGGTGAGGCCAAGCAGGTGAGGCTTTGTTCTTTCTTCCCTTTCTTTGATCCCAGCAGCCCTTCTTTAATCTGCCTTAGATATTAAGATTTCTTGTAAGTTTTCATTAGAAAAATTAAAAAGATTCCATTGGCAAAAAAAGTAAATAAGTAAACAAAGACCCAAACAATCAACAAACCAAAAGAATGGATAGCGGTATTTTAACATCTGTACACAGTGCAAAAATCTAGAAGTGTTAAATACTCTCTGTGACTTCTATAGTCACTCAACCTCTCTGAGACTTGGTGTTCCCATCTGTAAAATGAGATTAATACTATTGTAAGGGGGAGGTGGGTGGCAAAATAATAATAATAATAATGATATTATAAAGATTAACAACTCTTTTTGGTAAAAGTAGAAGCTGTGTGTTTCATTCAAGGGAGAATGGGAGCAGCTAGAGGAGGCAGGACAGTAAACATTTGTTATTTTTTTCAGCTCTCCATCGTCTGAATGGAGACATGTTTGGTGACATCACCAGTGGTGTGGTGGAGTGCCAGTTGGGTGTTCCTATGGGGTTTAACATCAGCGTGAGTGACATAGAGAAACCTGGACCATTTAGGGCTCATCGTGGTAGTGGAGACAGTCACTCTTCAGGGGCAATGGTACCAGCCATGGGGCATCAACCCTAGAACCGGCAAGGCTCAAGCTGAGCTGTTCATGTGGCAGGAGACTTTGTGAGTTTCTTTTGTTTCCTACGTGGGTTTTAAGCCCAATCTCTAGCCTTTCTTTAGAGCCTCTGGGCCTCTCTGTGCTGTGTGATTGAGTTATTGACATCTAAAATTAACCAGAACTCTTCCAACTGAGAACTGCAACAGGCATAGATGGTGGCATGTCTGAGTGTGGGGTTAGTGACAGCTGAGGCAAAAGTAGTTTTAGGTCTAAAACACTCTTAATGTGAGAGTTCAAGCTGATCACTAAAATATGTCTTAAAGGGAATGGGAGAGCTTTGATCCCTAGTTGAAATCCCTACTCTCACAGACCCTAGCAGATATTTCAGCAGGGGAGAGCTTTTCTGCTACCTGACTTCATTTTAAATTTTCTTATGTAATCAAGTAGAGACCCGCAAAACATCTTTTTTATTTTAAACTTTTTCCTGTGCTAGTTTTGTTAGGATCTCATAAAAATTCATCTTTTAAAATGTCTAAAACTAAATTAGAAGAGAGCATATGACATAGCAGAGTAATATAGACTATCATAATGACAGAAAACATAATAAAAAAGAAAGAAAATGTAGATAAAAAATAATTCCCTAGAATCTTAACTCAAACAGCCCCTGACTTTCAGGGACCAGAAAATTCATTTCCCTCTTGCTTTAACCCTGAACTTGTCTTGCTATGTTGAAATCACTATTGCAGCTAATGTCTGTAGGAAGGCTGCCTTCCGGGACAGGGACAGGCAAGAATCCGTGTCCCTGTGCTGTGTCCACTAAAGATCTGGAAGTGTCTCTGCCACCTCATCTGTATTTTCGGGGATGTCACCTCAATCTACTATTAAAATATAGCTGCAGATGAAATCAACAAGTATACACTTTCTTTTTTTCTCCCTGTTCATTTTATTTTAAGGATGTGGGGTACAAGTCAGGATTAGGTCTATAAGTGGTCTATGTTCAGGCAAAGTTTTGACTAACAACTGTACACTTTCCTGCTAGCTTATTCATGTACCTCGGAGAGCCTCCAAAAGCCTAAAACTGTCACGTGGCCTGTGACATCATTATAAAGGGTATGGAAAAATAGGCAGGCAGTGGCATCACCATATCAACTAGGGGCCTTTTAGAAGTGGCTAAGCGTCCTCAAAGAGCTCTTTCTGCGATAGTTCAGTGTCCTGTTGCATTGAAATCCTTTGGCCTTACGAAGACAACTGGAGTTCCTTGCTGGTGGCCCCACCATTAGTACCTTCAGCTTGAAGAGCCAGCATTTAGGATGAAGCCAAAACAATGAGATTATGTTTTGGTTGCCACTTTGCTGTGATGACTTCTAAGGTTGGATATCACCTGACATCACCAGCCACAAATTTGTTGAGTCACTAAAGCCAAAAATAAGAACTCAAACTGTTGAAAGACCTTGACATTTTCAAATACTATGCGTACTGTACTCACCATTGGGGTCACCATTGGGGTCGCCATTTATTGTCACTTCCTTAATGATATAGAAATAGATACTCCCATTACATCTTGGAAGGACAATGGAGTCACAGCAACAATAACATAACAGTAATAATAATAACAGGAGTCAGAACTTACTGAGCACTCGCCATGTGTCAGGTCCTGGGCTTTCCATAGTTTATGGAAAACTTGAATCCTTACAACAAGCAAGACAGGTATTCCTATTTTTTAGATGAGGAAACTATGGCTCGGGTGTTATTTGATCTAAAGTTGCATGCCTGTGATTTGAACGTAGGTCCAGCTGCCTCTCAAGTCTTTGCTTCAGAAGCAGATAACTTATTTCACACCCTTAGTTAGGTGACTGCCAGAACTGGGTGATCACCTGGTCTGAGAGTTCTTGGGTAAAAAGCTCAGTGACCGAACCATAGTTTCAGGATGTGAGACAATAAAAAAGGAGAAAAGAGGGGGTCATTTCTTCCCTTCCACTGAAACAAACCTGGGTTGTATGTGTACACGTGTGAGGGTGAAAGGGGGTTGCCTGGGGAGGAACACAGAGGTGGTGAGGGACCAGGGGCCTAGGATGACCTGGCAGGAGAAGCAGCGACTTGGGTGGAGAAAAACCAACCATAGGCGAAAGGAAAGACTCCATCTTGCCAGGATGTCATAGAGAAAAAACAAGACGAAACTGCAACGGGGCAAAGGGAATCATGGATTAGCCACAAAGATCGTTACTGTCTATTGTTTGTTACACTCAAGTGCTAGTCCTAGTGCTTTACATGTATTCACTCAATATTCGCATTATTGCTAGAAGGTAAGTTCTGATCACAAGGTCACTTTATGGGTGTGGAAACTGTGCCACAGAGAGGTTAAACAATTTGCCCAAGTCACACAAGAAGAGTTGTAGAACCAGAATTTAAATGTAGGTTCTTTGTCTTCAGAGCTTGGTATACCCTCTACCACCATCCTTTAAAGATGCTGGGGGAAATGAACACATGAGGCCAATTGGCAGTGAAATAAACTACCAAGGGAGAGACCAAGATGTCAGACAATGGATATCAAATCAAAACAGAGTCGAATTCCATCTCTGTGTCAACATGGACTTGGTCACACACTTTAGATGGTGGCAACTGCTAAATGGGAACATTGCAGAGGGCCTTGGTATCTGATCATCATGTGTCAGAGGGTGACATGTGGAATGAATTATGATGAAGTCACTCCCTCTCACAGTTGCTAAACCTGAACTCATGTTCTCTATGTCCAAGGGGCCTATTTCTGCCAAATCTCTGCCAGCTGGGAGATGCCTTGTCTTTCCTTTCCTTAATTATTGGAGTCCTACCAAGCTCTCTTAGTTCTTTCTTGGAAATCTTACGATTTTCACTGAGTACAGGTCGCTCTTGCTTCACTTGCATTCATGCTTCATGGGTCACCCTGCCTCTTGTTTCTCCCTTCCAGGCTGAACCAGATGTCTCTGCCGGGTGAACCTTTCAGAGTGGCCTGGAACATTGGAAATTACTGTAAACTACAACTCAGAAGAGCCATGCTCTGGTCTAGCTTTGCCAGTTGGTAAGTGACACTGAGAATTTTTTAACTTTCTGGATCTTAAGAGTCCACAAAGAGAAAGGGGGGAGTTGGAACGGATGCTCTCTAAGGTTCATGTAAGTATATGAATGCCTGAATGAATCAGCTCCTTGCTTTTATACCTGCCTGTGGAGTTGTTTAAATCTTTAATCCTGGTGCTGAAGGCTCTGTATAAAAGTTTCCTCACATCATTTTACAAGATAGTCTTTCCTCCTATCATGCCCTGCTTGTTTCCAAATTCAGCTTTTCTTCCTGCTGTACTTGCTTCCCAGAAAGTCCATTTCTACCCTTTTCACAGCCAAAACCTTAAACCATCATAAAGGTTCTGTTCCAGAGCCTTGTCTTTCCATGACAGCTTTCCTGAGTGACCTCAGGCTGCAATATTTTCGTTCTACAGAAATTGTATGCCCGTGGTAGGCTGTGGCCAAAGAGTCTAGATTCTGGATCCAAGCTGCCTAGAGTAAAGTCCTGGCTGTGCTACTCACTAGCTGCCAGTTAGTTAACTTCTCCATGCCTCAGTTTCTCCATGTCATAATAGAGTCCACTGGGTAAGACTGTTGTAAGGATTGATATAGGTGTTAATGTTTGTAAAAGAATGAAAGAGTTTTAGGGACACAGTAAATACTGTGTAAATATCATCTATTATTATGACTACAACTAAATTTCACACACATTAAATAAATCTTAATAATTAAATTATCTCATTCATGTAGATATTGTCTCCTCAAGTAAATAGCAGGTCTTTATCAATTTCTATTTTTTTCATGTCATGGCAAACAATTCGTGCTTCATAAATGCTATGAACAAAATATGAATTAAGTAAATGAATGAATAAATGAAAGAATTACCATCCAGCCTCAACAAAAGAGGAGAAGCAGGTATAAAGATGAATTTTATATAATTCTGGAGCAAAGAGCCCAAATGGACTTGACTTCTTTAATGTAGTCTATGATTGTTTACTTAATTCTTAAGAGTAGACATTGTACTGTAACTTGTTTTGCAGGAGAAAACTAGATCAGGAAAAAGAAAACAAGAACAAAAATCAATCCAATATTGACTATCTTTGTATATTTTTGACTTTTAGAAAGCGTTTGTTCACAGGAGGTGTCTGCCCACTCATGACTCTCAGAATGATAGTGTATTTACTCAGCTCTTCGGGAAGAACATACGTTCACCATGATGAACTAAAAGATAGGAAAACAATAGCAATGCACAAGCAGAAATTTTAAAAACTGTGGCTCTCGACTGGGCTCAGTGGCGTATGCTTATAATCTCAGCAGTTTCGGAGGCCGAGGTGAGAGGATTGCTTGAGCCCAGGAGTTCAAGACCAACCTGGGCAACATAGCGAGACCTCATCTCTGCAAAAAATTAGCTGGACATGGCGGCGTGTGCCTGTAGTCCCAGCTACTCAGAAGACTGAGGAGGGAGGATCACCTGAGCCCTGGAGGTCAAGGCTACAGCTCAAAAAACAGGCAAAAAACCAACCAAACAAAAGCAGCCAAAAAAAACCATTTCTGGTCTTGAGTATCTGGTAGCCTTCTTTAATAACAAACTTCTGTTTAAAAAATACTTTTCTTTATGACTAAATGCCTTGTCTTAAAATCTAGGAGTCTGTTTCAGATCAACAAAGGACCTCCAGGTCATTAGAAAAACATTGTCACTAGGTCATTAGAAGAACATTGCCGTCAAGTTGATGCAATGGTCCCCAGGGATGGTCCAGTAGGTGACAGGGTAGGACACAGGATTTGCTGTGGGGTGTGAGGAAGGGACGTTAAGGCATCGCCACCACAGCTATTCCTCTAAACAACCACCGAAGGCAGGAAGTGAGGACCTGCTGGTGCTCTGAAATTTTAAACCATTTTGGTTTGACAAACAAAGAAGATTAGGACAGAAACAAACATAATAGAGACCCAGCAGCTGCAGCCCCCGGCATCTCCTTAATACCTTGGTTTCTTTCTGAATTTTTATAGCTGAATTGCTAAGAGCTAGGAAGGAGAATTTCTAATGGATTTACTGACACTACTTTATATAATTCAATGCATAATACAATGAAATTTCTTTGAAAATGCATAGGAGTGCCATTATGTTGTGGCACAGTTATTATAGGAAAGGGGAGAAAGTAAAAAAAATGTAGGGAATAAAATGATACAATTTCCTTATTTCATCAGCTTACCTTTTGACTCCTTTTCGTGAGTCCTAAATTTGGTCAAGATGAAATGTGTCTATTTTGCCTTGGACCTTCTCACTAATGCACCAAAGAGGCATTTCATGAATGCTAAGCTATGCAAATTCCCAGTAAAGCACCCTTAAGAGTGCTCTGGAAGAAAAATTTCTTATAGTTTTAGGTTACATTTCTCACCACCAAGTCAAGCCAAATCCCAATGCCAGGTTACACAGGAAGGGGGTCATGACATCAGACATTCCATCGAAGGTGAGATGACCATTCATAAGCCAGTTTGGTCTGAGGAATGAATGGTCATCTTACCTGTTTGCAAGTGGACCTCATGGGTGACCCAGAAAAATGCACATAGCAGCGGCAGCATGGCATGGGGGGAAGACTTGGAGATTCTTAATAATTCTGAATAGGCTTTGGAAGCGATGTGGGGTCTAGAGCCTTAGAATGGTGTGGTTATAATTCCTGAGGTGAAAATATAACAACACTTCAAAGCCATGATGGATTACAGCTGAGTGTAAAATTATATTCTTGAGTGATGATCACAGGGAAGATGACATCATCCAATGGCTTTTCTCATTAAATGGGATGATCAATGGGCTGACATTTAAGCTATGCTGGTGGATAAGGTCATTGCTGTCATCCTGGTCTCTACTGGATTATGACACATCTCAAAAACAAGGCAAAACAATTCTCCTCCTGCCCTTTCCCAAACAAACAAACAAACAAACCAGAAGCAAACTCTAATGCCTGTTACTCCAGAACACTAGGGAGTTTGACTAGCCATTAGAAAATGACATAGATGTCCACTTTGATTGGTACGTATGACATATTCACAAATATTCCTTGAACCCTACCTAGCTAGGTGTTTGGGTTAGAGAAATAAATAAGACATGACTCCTGCTCTAAGGGAGCATACGGTCTGCTAAGATAAGTTGTTTTGTATCAAAATGGACACATACATGGCCAGCTGGGACTTGATATTTACAGCAGCAGATATATATATATAATTTTTATATATTTTTTGTCTTTCACCTGCTGTGGTTACCTTAAGATAATTTGATATTTTATGTATTTGGGGATGAAATTATTTTCCTAGGATGTATAGCTGTCTAGTTCAAGCCTCATACATTGAATGGGGTTGGGGGAGTGAAATGTAAGTTTCTTTTACTCAACTGAACTTTTTACTAGCACCGCTTGGACCCTCTGAATCTTGGCAACGTGGTAGAATGTGATGCCAAGAATCTGAGTATCTGAAGAACTAAATGAACTTGAACTTTGCATTTTATTGCCTCCTCACAAAATGAACTCAGAAGAGATACAGACATATAAGCTTACTGATTTACAGCTTTCAAAATATGTGTTATGTTTCTCTACAATGTATTTGTTTTAAATATTTGGAATGGGTATTTGGCTGATAAGGATATGCACTATAAATGCTTCCAGAAGATAAGAATTCCTCTAGCTGGGGGAAGAAAGAGAATGAGAATGACTCTGAAACTTCTTGGAAAGGACTCACTTTATTTAATTTCTCCTCTAGACTGTGAGCAACTTGAGGATGGGGCTTCCTTACTCATCTTGGCCACTTCCGCATCTTTTTCAGGTGCTCCCCCCCAAAATGTTTGTTGAATGGATGTATGAATAAGGAATGGATGAATGTCTGGGTCCTGAAGGAAAAAGAGGTAGTGATAAAAAAAAAGACGGGGAAGAGAAAGAGGAGGAGGAAGAAGTGTTTGTACTGTCTGGGACGTGTGGGAGGTGCGTGTTTGGGGAATGCTGGCAAGTTAAATGACATTGGTATGGTTGAATAGGAAGGCATGGGGGCAGAGGAGGCTGCAGACAGACTCTGGGACCACATTGGAAAAGATATCTGCTTTCCATGGTACTGTGGCAACTCATTCATTATTTCCACATCATTTTTCTTTTATTTAATTTTTGAAGGTCACACTAGCTCAAGCTCCAGTAATAGGTATTCATGTGGTTCCCATATTAAGAAGCCTGTCTTTTGGGACTACCAGGTGAAGTGGAACAGGCTGTGCACTGCACAATTCTGGGACGTACTCTCTATATCCAGTACAATGTGTGGCAGCTCTGTGCTCCCTTAACCTCCCTATATGTGGAATGGAATACATTGACACATCGATCAGTTGCTGGAAGGGCAACATGTTTTGAAATGCTTTGAACTATCTTTCCTCTTTATCTATTGTATACGAGGGGCCCCCACAAAACCCAGAACTTATTTATAAAAAATTGTGTATTTATTCTTACATGTTTAAACTTCAGTAGCCTTCAAAGTACTCTTTGTTTGATGCAATATACCTACTAAGATGCTTTTTCCACTGCTCAAAACAGTTTTTGAACTCATCAACCTTGGTGCCTTTTAGCGCTTCCGCCATTTTTTCTTTCACCTCTGCCACATCAGTAAAATGTTTCCCTTTGAGAACTTTTTTCATGGGGGAAACAAAGAAAAAGTCGCTCAGGCAAGATCAGGTGAATAGGAAGGGTAGAGCACTGGCCATGTTGTTTTTGTTCAAGAACTGCTGAACACTCACTGTGGTGTGTAGGTGTGATGCCCATAGGTTCCTAGAACACTTACCTAGAGGAGGAAGCCTGGACTACAAGGGGCTTACCCTCCAAAAAATAATTCTGTTCTTTTGGGGGAGGTCCCCCTTATATTCCTGAAGATCCCATGATTTTTCCATTTTTCTCAACCTGTGAGGGTTTTTTTTTTTCCCTGAGTCGGAGTCTCACTTTGTCATTTAGGCTGGAGTGCCGTGGCATGCTCACGGCCACTACAGCCTCGACCTGCTGG